ACCTATTGAAAACATACATTCAAGAAATACTGAGTTGAGGAACAGAAATCCAAAGGTCAAGAATGTGCAGAAAAAATATAGTGACCCATATTCATCATTATGGTTGGCATCTGCTTAAAGATACCATTTCTCATTCCATAGACAGCAGTAAATTGTGGTTATGATCTCAGGATACCTTTACATCTTGTGCTATATCTTTACAAATGGCAATCAATATTTGCTTGGAAATAACACTTCAAATGTGTCATTGGGCTACATTCCTAGGCATCTTGCTATTAACAACATCATTTGGGTTTTTTTTATGCATCACACTTTTTTATTTAATGCACATTCTGTCTGCAGAGACAAGAAGTTGCAGTGAAGTCCAGCCCAAGAGAAGCTTGAGGTACTGACTCATTCTGAGACACCAAGAAAAAGTTTGCTTGTAGGTGTATTCAGAATATAACTACACAAGGGCACTAAGCTATGTAAAACACTTGAAAATGAGGTGGCCTTATTTTTAATGAAGAATTGATTGCGCATTTTGAGTGGCTTAGTTTGACATTGTTTTATCCTGGCAGATGGCAAATGTGTTTCAAAGTAACTTTCCAGAATTTCAGAGAAATTTGAGTATCAATATTGCACTAAGATCCAGCTAGTGTGAGAGAAAGGATTAATGTCTCCCTTTCACTGGAGGAGTTGAGATCATTTGTTCAGATTGTGAGAGGCTTACTGTGTCCTCCTCCTCAGTTTAACAAATGAATAATCTGACCACTAAGAATAAAGAATATTTCTCATGCAGTCTGCTTCAGTCTGTAATTCTTTGGGGAAAAAAGCATCCACCTCAGCCAAAATAATCGAGAAAACCACAATCCAAAGCAACTCTTTTTACCTGACCAGGAGTTTTAGGCATGTGAAACTCAACTACTAATTCACTTTCTGCCTAAATCATGAAGAAATGTAACCTAAATTCCTACTACTTTGGAGAATTCTTGAAAGCCTGAACCACATGTGGAAGGGGACACCACTTCCACCAGGTCTGTGAACCTGACCAGCTATAACCTTTTTTACCTTACAGGTCTTTAAACCAAGCTAATCTATATTCCCAACTTTTCTTTTTTTTTTTTTTCTATTTTTCCCTAATCTCAGCGGGAACAAAATTGGGGTTTTATTTGTATTGATCTGAACTACTCTTTTAATACTTTGTTGGTTTTTTTTTTTTACCTACTCAGACAATTCAGTGAGTCATATAGCCCCAGCACGCTCAATAGACTGATCTCTTGTCTGAATGTTCTCTCTTTTTCTCTTTATCCATGGCTCAATAAAAAGGATTCAACTCCAGGTCTGGCTTTCATGCATAACCCCAGAAAAAAAGGATTTTTTGAGGAGTTAGTTTCCCTCAGGATATAACAGTTTTCTTTATTGCTAGGACTCCTTGTTCATAAAAAAAACTTACCTCCTTATCTCTTTAAATACAGTGCTAACATAGACTTGGAGAAAATTACGGAACAGTATTAAAAAATTAAGGGGAAAAGTAAAAAGAGAAAATTAAGTAGGTTCTGCCACCCCACACAGTAAGTGTCACTGAGTGTGATGTATGTTCTTGCATAATGCTTCTGCCAACATCTTTCTCAACCAGGTCATGGCTGGAGGAAGATTGCTTGCCAGAGCCGGCCAGCATGATCACTGCTCTGGTGGGACAGGAGGAATCACCTTTCTGGTTGCCTTTTGTTGCATGTGGTAACATGAACAAGCTAACTAAACTCAGACTTACACACCTTACAGGCAGTTGTGCTGTTGCTCTGCTCTTCTGCAGCCACAAGCTCTCTGCAGACTGTGCTGCCAGGGCTCACTTTTAGAGCTTTTATTTAAAACTTGCTTGAATTTCACAGGTATGAAAGCTTCAAAGAGGGCTTTAAGCAACCACCCTTTTGAACCTGTGCGTGCTGAATTTCCTGGAGACTTCTCTCACGAACAGTTTGCCTCATGACACACAGAGCTACTAAACTGTAAAGGCCTATAAAAGAGTCAGAGAAGTCATGAAAACCTAAGGCAGCTCTATTTATCCTCTTAATTCCTCAGTTATCTGAGATGAAAGGTACTATTTAAAGGTAGATGCTGTGTCATAACCAAGTTTTCATAAGGATTTACACTACTCAGAATATTAGCCAAGTGCCTTTTATAGTTTTGATTGTTCAGTCACATCAACAATTAAAAAGCAGTGCTTAGTGAAACTCAATTAGGCCATCAAGTTTGCTTTTTTATAGGAGTATAACAGAACCATTGTTAGTCTTTTAGCAGTTTCACTTCAGCAGATTTTGAGACCTGCATTCTCTGTTTCTACTCTTTGACTTTTCATGAAAATAATTTTACTTCAATAAATTGATACTATACCTATTCAACTGTTTTAAAATGAAATTCACGTTGGTGTTTTCTCTTACTAAATTGAGAAAAGAAGCTTGGAATTTAACTAGATCTTGAATACAAAACATTAACTCACTCATCTTTGTTAGGATCTCAGCTGAGACGACATACTGTTTACCCATCCCGAGGTGAGAAGGTACAACTTCATTCTAGTGAGGTGTGAGAGATCTCCCTCTGATTTCTGCTCCTTTGAAGTAGGACAGCAGTGAGTCAAGGTATAAACTGCTCAGAAGAATGAGGAAAGGTATATATTACTCAGAAGGAAGAAAGTCCAGTGTCTAGATTCCTATCTGCAAAGAGGACTAAAGAAGAAAGCAGCTAGCAGCTCACTTCCCTCATGTCCCTGATTTTGGCAGTCTCATTACCAAAGTGGGAAGGAGCAAGCTGCCCTCCTGATGCTCTGATTCTGCTGGTTCTCTGCAGGAGGGTGAGAAAAGTGCCTGCCCACAGGTGAGCTGAATGGATACCTCCGAAGGGCAACAAAGCTGCCCTTTGGTAAAATCTGGTGGGTGCCTACTTCTCGTATTGCACATAATACTGTACCAATGCTTTCCACAGTGAAGGTCTGATACTAAGTGTGGAAACCCCGTGCAGGAAACTGTAGAATGGAAACTCATCTATCAGAGGGGCTGATTTTTCATTGTCCTCAATAAAAGTTGCCAATGTTCAGCTGTTCTGAAAACAATACTTTCATGGGATCCTGCACAAATAGAAGCATCTGAAAGTTTTTGAAGTTGTGTCTTTTAGACACTACATTGTTTATTTCTTAGAAGAAATACTGCTAGGAATGGACTAAACCAAAAATATCAGCATATTCTTCCCTCTGCCCACATCAACCCAACGATTGTGCAGCATGTTCTAAGGCCCAGCAAAGAGTGAGATTGTATAAAACAAGTGCTTCAGTCAAGAGTAACACAAGACATTAGCAGTGGAAGTGCTGATGGCATTTATACAGAAGATAATCCACTCTCAGTGGCTCTCGGTCCAGCACTTTTGTGCCACCAGAAGAGAGATGCTCTAGGGGAGGTGGAGCTGAAGGAGATGAGCAGAGTAGCACCAGGCACACAGCACAGCCTTCACTCTGTCAGCACGACAAGTGCAGGCTGTTAAGAAGAGGAAATGTTCTCTATCAGAATATAAGGGCCCAATTTCTCTGTACAACAAGCACATCTATGTCACACAGTCTCAGTTGTGGCTCTGCCTATATGCAAGACTGATCTTATTATTCTGGGATCTCTCATTTGTCATCATTACAGTCAGGTTCCTGCAGCTTCTTAAGGAATATACTCATATTTCGGATAAACAAATGCTTCAACTTTCCTATTTAATGTATTATTTTGGCTATCTTTACCTACCTAATCTCAGGCTTATCTCTCTATCAGCATTATTTATATAGCATAAAATTAGCTGCAGTAGGTCACATTCCTTTGGCTAAAGGACGCAGAGCTGCCTGGAAAACTGCAAGGCTGCAGCTAGAGCTTGGCTGGTGCAATATACTTACAAGCACGGACGTTCACCTCTGCCCCTTAGTGCAACATCACACTCCTTGACAGGAGAACTCCTGCCACTGCTGGCCTGTGCAAAATGTGGACTTGAATGCTGCAAGACTGTGGAAATTCTTTATACTAACACTTTGTGTTTATACCGTGACTATGGAATCAATGCAGTATAAAGTATTGCGTTTTCCCAAGTCATGCACTTTTTAATTTACTCTCAGCAAATCCCATATGGCTGAGGCATTTTTATAAGAATGCAAGCAATTCTGAGCTCTGTAGAAAATGCTGAGTGCTGCTGGATGCAGGCAGAGAAGGGCAGAAGAGAAAAAAATACATTCCTTTGAACACACTAATACAGAAGGCAATTAAGGAATACAACAATAATGAGCAATAATTTTCTCTCGTAATGTATGTTGAACTTTAAAGAGCAGGTGAGGACTCACTGAAAACAATAACAAGTAGCATAATGAAGTCCTGTCTACACAGGGATGTTACTTCAAATGCTTTAGATGAGCTGTCTTGCATGCATTCACAGGGATTGTTTTAAAGTGACTGGGCTTTCATTTTGCATGAATGAAACCCAGGCTTAGCAGCTATATGCTGCACTGAGCTTAGACGAGGATTCTGTCCATTCTCTCAATGATTTCCCCTCATCGCATAACATGATATAGTTTATTTGCTGTCTGGCCCCTGAGTGCCCTCTTCTGTTACGAGATCATCTGGATTAAATCTAGCTGAATGCGGATGGGTTCCTTTGCAATTCCAGCCCTGACAGACAAATCTGTGCACTCCAGAGCACAGCCTCTTTTCTTCCCCTCATACTTTACCATAGGTTGTGTGTAGCAAATCCATACCCAATTTATTGACATGCCTTAAGTACCATGATTTGTCAAACTGAATGCAAGGGAGAGGCATTCTTGAGAGAGGGACCAGTGCCAGCAGAAAGCAAATACCAGTTGGACTACAAGAGCATGAAAGATTTGAGTGGGACCTCCAGGACTTTCCCTTCCCAATGTCTAGATCTGGGTGAGTTGGAAAAGAGTAATACAAATCACTGATGAACCCCAGTATTGTAATGTAGTCATAGGGTTTACAGTAGTTGTCAAATGATGTCACTTCATATGGGGATTGGTAGAGTTAACAATCTATTTTTCAAACCTCTATGCTGAAATGCAAAGACTGAGGTTACAAAAATGCTTTTTGAAATCCAGATAGATGGTGAGCTTGAAAACGCTGCAGAGGGAAATCCTGCTATCATGTCCTTTATTAAATTGCAGCCCTGCACCTCTAACCCAGGCAATATCTGAATGCCATCAGTGACAGTGGAATTGAGCTGCAGGATACATGAGTCTATCTCCACCAGCTTGGCACTGCCTTCCTCAAAATGGTCACTGTGGTCTTCCACAAATGAGAACTCAACCCATGTCCTCACCTCACGCTGCTTGGCTGCTGCTCTCCCTGTCATGCAAACAGTGTGGAGGCACTGCAGGAGTTAAAGGGAACACGGACTGCAGAGCAGGCTTGCTGTTAACACTGGAAGCAGAAAGAGAAAAAGCAGTAGCAGGTTTACTTTGGTTCATGCAATGTTCAGCATGCTGTGTTCTCAGCTCCTTTCACATTTTATGAGACAAATTACCAAAATTAAACATTTCAAAATGATTATGAGAGACTTAAAATCAAATCTTTAGCAATATAGAACTCTTGGATTTGGGCCAGTGGCTCTAAAGTCTGTTCCTTTCTAGTGCACATGGTGCTGACCTGCATGTGCTATCAAATATGTCAATGCAAAGACTGCATTCTCTTTTAGTGTTTTACTATCTTACTATCACACGGAGCAGGGCAATGCTACCTTCTTGCTTGTCAGTATATCTCTCATTTACTTCTGCAGTTGAATACGTTTCTGTGCAGTGCTGAATTTCTTTCTGATCTATCCACCTCACTTTTTCAGTATGACTTTTTCCTCATCTCTTGGAAACACATTTCAAGGTAACATCCCTGCCAACATGCACATAGAACTGAAAGCTTGAATCCTGTTGCTGGTCAGCTCTCACCAATTCTGGATCTTCTTCCCTCCTTCCCATTCCAGCACCAGCACAGGCTTTCTATAGCAAGGACATGTAGAGTGGGAGGCATCCTACTTAGTTAAACACCACTGGCTTCCCTGGGAACATCAATTTCCTAGGGAAGCCCAGGCTGAAGAAACAGATGGTACTGACATCCCAAAATTGAGAGAAAAAAGAAACCTATTATCATTGGCACTGTGTTCTATGTAGAAATGACAAATATTTGCAATTTGTCTCTGGCAATCAGGGCACCATAATGATGACGAACATGAGCCCTGCAAGCTGCTTAAGGCATGAAAAAAATGGTTCAAAATAGAAAAAGAGAATAGGAAGGAGACATCCATGGTTCTTGTGAATGGCTTTTAGCACAGGAACCAGAAGGCACTAAAAGAACTGGAAGGATGCTTGTGACAGTTTGTGTTAACTTGCATACAAGTATCTAGCTTCAGAGGAGGCTTGGACAAGGAAAGCAACACACATGGAAATTTGCTGGAAATTATGCAGAAGGAAAAAAAAACCTCTGAAGAATATTTAGATGTCATATTCATACCAGTACCTCAAGTGCATACCAAGGTTAATATGAGTAGCAGTGACTTCCTGTAGGTCCCCAAGGATATCTGTGTCCTTTCCAGAAAACAGGAGTGATTTCTGTTTTCCTTTCTAAAGATAAGTGTACTTAGCACTTAAGGTGTGTCATGCCAGAGTTAAGCCGAATTAGTAAAGGTCATCATGAAAAAATGGGCAGAGGCATCTCAAAGTTCTCTCCTTCCCCTAATAACAAAAGTTCTTAACAAAAAAGAGTAACAAATAAGCTTGTATTTTATATCTTTGTCTGCAACACAATCATTTTTCACCTCTCGCTTAAGAAGGAGCAGAACAAAATCCCTCATCCTGTTTTCCTGAGCAGTTTGGACACTTTCTCCTTCTCTCATAGATTTTGAGCAAGACATAGTGAACACCTGTCACTTGCAGCAAATATTGATCTGGGTCTGCATGGCTCCTCCACCTGACCTTCAATTTGCCTTTCATTATTATTCTGCAGTTACTTGGAACAGTCATACAGTTCCTTTCTCCAGCACATCTGCTCAGTAAAAGGTACCATTGGCCCAAGGAGCAGAGACATCTGGGTCTCCCAGAGTGACATGAGGAATGGCAACATTGTTAACATACACAGCAGTCCAGAGAGCAATTCTCATTTTTGATGCAGTACATTCATATGAATTTCTAAAAATCCTGTCATCAACTATTGTATATCATTCTGTATTATTCATGAACTTCCAGTTGTAATCTATGAGACTGTAGACAAGCTTGAAAAACATCTTTTTTCTTTTTTTTTTCCTGTTTATGAAACTTGCAGCATTGGGTTCCCCCGCCCAATCACAGCTTCCATCACAACTCGGGAACATCAGCTTTCCAAACGTTGAAGGATTTTCTCAGTCCTAGCATGCTTGAAGGTCACACGTGGTCTGTATTTCCAGCACTCTGACAGACCAGGGCCATTCCAGCTAGCAGCACCTATCCAGTTGACTGTTCAGATGGCAGCTGGTGCAGATGCTTTGCAGCCCTCACCATCTTGAAGTCCTCACATAAGTACTCCTCATCCAAACCAGGCATGAGGAAGAATTATTCTGTTTTTACCTTTTTTTTTTTTTTTCTGCCAGGACTCTGAAGGGTACAACCACATCTCTTCCCAAGATGCTCTGCTGTATCACTGACCTGTTTGTATTAAGGGCAGGCGGAGCTCTGCCATGTTTCCTCCTGCTATTAGAAGTGGCACTGAGTAACAGAGGGATCATGAAAACAGCTTGGTTTCTTCCCAGGTTGCAGAACCTAATAGGGTCCTGTATGTCGTCGACACAGCGCTGACTGTGGAACATGGCAGTTCTGCTACATGGCGTGAATTTGTGGAGAGCAGGATGTGTGCATTGGGAAAGGGAGGGCAAAACAAACCAGTAGATCATGTGGATACACATCTTTACTCTAGATGATATGCATTTTCAAGAAAATGTCCTCTGAAGTTTTCCTTCTGGATATGGAAACAATTTCTTAGAGGTCTTCCCAGACCTATTCAAAATAAATGAAGAATAAACCTTTCCAAAGGCAACTAAGGTGTCAAAATGGGACCATGTAAGAAAAATCTATCAAAACAATGACAATTCCTTAAAATCAAGAAAATAATTAATGTAAGGACATCTTACATCTAACAGTGGCCATGAGATGGTCTACTGAATTATTCTTACCAAATTAAAGCAGGGCTATGGGTAACTTCCAGTAATGTCACTCAAAACAATCTTCACCTATGAAGGCAATTTTCAGATTATTATTGGATGGTGCTGAAATATGTGTTCATATGGGGCTCAAGCAAAGGAATATGAACAGCCCCTTAGGAAGGGAAAGTCCCCTCAGTAGTGGATTTAAAAAAAAACAGTCTTAAATCTGACCCCAAAATTGCAGCTTTTAGATATATTCTTTTAATTCATCTTTTAGATACATTTTGGACTTTCATTCCACAGAACACATTGCCAGGTATTAGGTGAGTCACCAATTACATTATTTATGTAAGCTACTTACATAATAGGCACTTCTGGAACCTAATGGTTTATAAAGAGCTTGACACGGAAACGTGCAAAATATACACTTTTTCATTTGTATATTGTTTTTATACATATGTGCTTGAATTTGATTACTATGTAGCTCTATACATGATGTATGTGTTCCAGTTGAATATATAAGCGAACAAGGGCTTTCTCACATAATATAGCTGTTTCAATTTCACCACGTGCTTTGATTCCAAAAGAGCACTACATTTCTGTTACCTATGTCAGGACTACTAATGAAAACTATTTATTTTTATGTGATCTGTAGCCAGAAGTAGTAAAGTTAATTCACTGAGCTTTTCTGGTGCAGATATACTTATATCGCTATAAAAAGTTATACACGTGTGGTAACATTAGCTTTTCTCAGGAAGAACAAGCTGTGTCAACATGAGGCACTTCACTGCTAGTGGAGCATATGGTTTGAAGCTGTTCAACACCTTGAGATTCAAAGGTGAATTGCAGAATATCCTAAATTGGAAGAGACATATGGATCCGGCCTTATGTCCGAGAGTGATGTCAAACGCTCCTTCAACTCTGGGCAGCTCTGGGCTGTGCCCACAGCCCTGGGCATTCATTCTGTTCCATGCCCACCGCCCTCTGGTGCAGACCCTGTCCTTAACCCCCTCCCCTGACGCAGCTCCATGCCGTTCCCTCGGGCCCTGTCACTGTCACACAGAGCAGAGCTCAGCGCTGCCCCCGTCCCCTAGCAATGGTTGAAGCAGCCGAGTTTCCCTCAGCACGGAGACCAAAGGGAGAGATTCCTTCCTTCAGAAGCGGCAGGAAGGAAGGATGCTTCGGTCAGAGGTACTCACGGCCGCTAAACACGAAAGCACAATTTCCCTGCATTTTGCAACGGGAGAGAGGAAACCAAGCGCGCGCCAGTTCCCGCGTCGCTGCTTTCTGCTTCGAGCGGGCAACGCACCCGGCATATCCGGCAGCGGCACCCCGGCCCGCTGCCGACGTTTTCGCGGAGCCGTGAGGCGGTAACGGCCCGGGGGTGTCCGGCGCTCCCCGGCGGCGGCACCGAGCCGTCCGCGCGCGTCCCGGCCGAGCCGCCTACAACTCCCGTCGCTCCCCGCGCCGTCGCCGTCGCGCCTCGTCCCCGCGGCCGCCCCCCGCCGTTGCTCCCCTCCCACTGTCGGCGGCGCAAGCGCAGGAGAGGCGGCGTCCAGGGCAAGTCTCCCTAATGTAAGATGGTGGCCGGGCTGGCAGCGGAGCGCCCCGAGCTCGGAGATTCCCCGTCTCTCGCCTAAAGGTCGTCGGAGCAGCCGCCCGAGCGCCCGGCCGGCCCGCCGCTACAGGTCCCGCCCCGGGAGCGCCGCTGCGGTTTCCTCCCCGCGTTTCTCCTCGCCTCCTCTCGCCTTCCCTCCCCACCCTTCTCCTCCTTCTCCCTTCTCCTCCTTCCCCGCACGCTCACCCACCGCCCGCCCCCGCCGGCCCGGCAGCCGCCGCCGCCGCCGCCGGGCAGCGCCGCGCAGGGAGAGCCGCGCACACGCTCCGCGGGCCGGGCAGGGACGAGGAAGGCGGGTGAGTGCGAGCCGAAGGCCGGGCCGGGGAAGGAAGGAGGGAGAGGCGAGGAGGAGAAGAAGGAGGAGGAGGAGGGGGGGGAGCCGGGCCGCTCTGCCTACCAGAGCGCCCAGGCTTCGCCGGGACGGCGCAGGCCTCAGCCCACCCCCCCGGGCCGGCCCTGGCGGCGGGTGGACGCGCCGGGCCGGTGCGGCGCGCGGAAGGGCCCGGGCGGGCAGGGCGCGGGGTGGCGCCTCCCGGGCCGGGGGCGCGGGGCAGGGGCCGGGTCGGGTGCTGCGCCCGGAGCCGCCGGGCCTCCCTCGCCGGGGCGCCCGCCGCCTCCCGCCCCGCTGCCACCGGCCGTGCGGGGAGGCCGGGCGCGGGGATCGCGGCGTGATTCGCTTCGAGGCTGCGTGGAAATTTCCTCTCTCCTCTCCTTCCTCCTCCCCGGAGCTGCGGGCTCCATTTGTTCTTACGATTTGCACTTTTTTTCTTTTCCTTGAAAGGGAGGCAAACAGATGGTAAATGGCAGCGTCTTGTTGGGTTGTTTTTTGTTTTTTTTTTTGCGTTATTTTGGACCGTCCGTGTAACTTCCCGGGATCTGTCTGTTAGTAGAATTATCGGTATGTAACTTTCCGTCTCCGACTTGCAAAACACTGCGAACTCTTTCCATTTTGTGCCTCGGCAGAGGCAAATGACAGGGCTGCGTGCGGACTCTGCGCCGACTACCAGTGTCTGTCAGAGCTCTGCCTGCCAGTCTGTGCGAGCTGCTGCCGGCTGTGTGTGTGCAGGAGCAGGGAGGGAGAATATGCTGGGTAATTATCTCAAAACACTTCTTTACCGTACCTGAAAGGATGTAATTGGCTTTGGCTTAGATATGTGTGTCAGCACGGTAATACCAAGCGTGTAGTTTGCAGCAGAAAGTTCTCTTTGGACCGTATGTTAATGTAAGCGAAGTCCTCAGCAGGTTAAAGCTGTGAATGCTCTCTGCCTGCAGATGTTAGCTCATTCCTGCCCGTAAGTTTCAGAAGTTACTGTTGGCCAAGTGTATGTTTACTGAGCCTGTACCAATTTCTGACTTGCTGGGTTTTAACTCTCCACCTTTCACTTCAGTTTTAAGATGTCTCCACTTGAGCATCCCTGTACTTTGTCTTCGTATTCACATGAGGATTGACATGAGCAGAAGACAAACTCGTACAGACAGATGAATACACAGAGGAGTGGTAATGCTGCTGTCCTCCCTGTATTCCTGTTTGTTTCTTAGTAGCTTTTTTCCTTTTTTTTTTTTTTTTTTTTTGTTAAATACAGTTTTACAAAGAGCTGAGAACAAAATAGCTGTTTGGTTTGAGTAAAGGAGTTGTTTTCGGATGGTCTTCAAATACTCTCATGTGTGTCTGACTTAGCATCCCTCTAACATATCTGAACCCTAGGCTATGCTCTGGTTCACTGAGTTGCACCTTAAGCCTCTGGGACTCTGTGATAGTTCCTAGCTCATGAGCAAGATGAACACATGTAAGTGTTTAGAAATGCTTGGCAGTTGAACTTGGCTGAATTGCAACCAAAGTTCATTCTAGGGGAAAGGATTGTTTTGGAAAGGGGGGATGCAATGATAAAATGATCTGTGCTGTGAACTTGCTGTTTCTTCAGGTGCCTCTTTTTACTTTTTTTTATGATGATTCTTGGATGATCCTAACAGCTGCTCTCTTTCCAGAGGAAAGGTGGTGAGTGCCTTTCAAGAATAACACTCAGTTAACGCATTGGTACCTCTTCTTCAGAAAGTTTAGGAACTACTAGAGAGTGCCCTCTGAATGAAGGACTCGGGGAGAGAATATGCACAAGTATGTGGCTTTTCTCTGTTCTTTTTTTTCCTTCATGACTGCTGTTCAGGAAAGTTAAGGTAGTCCATATGTAAGTGAGACATTTTGAGATTACTCTGACCAAGATCATAAGTATGGGCCTTGAAGGCTTAGCTTTAGCAGCTCTCTCTAAATTTTGCCTACCTACTTGAAATAAATGAGATTATTTCAGATAACAGTTACCTGTGCTTACGAAACATCTTTGTGGTGGCTGGTTTAGGCCCAAGCATTTCAAGGCCTCTTAGGCCTTGTATGACTACTTTTATTGCCCAGGTAAGGTGAGGCTGAACGCTAGTCCTTATGACGCTGAAAGGAAATCAGTTGCTCAGCAAGACCACTAGCATTAAGGGTTGCTGCACCTTCACATGGAGAATGGTGTCTCAGGTTGCACAGACCACTGTTTGTCCCACTTGCATTTGTGAATTAGTCTTCCTGTGATGACTCTGTACAAAGATTTCCTAGCTTACATTTCTTTCTGATCTTTCTACTGAGTGTTTCAGTCCTTTAGGATTTTGGTGCTTTCTTTGCTTTTTGGCATGTATCTCTGGCCTGTTTCACCATATAGGAACAGTGTGAGGAATCAAGACTTGGTGATTAACTAGACATCTCTTTGGGCCTCTTTGTTCTTGGAGAATAGTCCAGGAATTGGTACCTTTCAAGGCATGGTTTAACATTTGTTAACATGTTAATGGTTGTAAGCACTTAGCAGCTTTGGAGGCTGAAGCTGGGCAGGTATTGGGGTGCTGCTCAGGTCTTCTGGTGCTGCCTATAAGCAAATTGGGAGGGCAGTGTAAGTATCTAGCAGGCAATATTGAGTATAAGCTCTGTGAGTGAAAGCGTGTATATGTTCTTGTGTTAAACTGTTTGGATCTGTTAGGTGCATATTTTCATCAAACTGGGTTTTATTTCATATTAGAAACTTTGATTGTATGTTTGGTTTTGTCAGGCAACATTTTTCTTGACGAAGATTCCCTTTAAACTCACAATTCTTGTTGCAGTATCGTATTAAACAGTCTCACTAATTTAGCATATGTTCAGATTTCTGATTCTGGCTAGCTTTTATTAGACTGTTTACTTCAGCTTAAAGAAAGGAATCAGTGTTTTAAATAGTGATTTCTCCATAGCACTTAGATCAAGTAATTACGCTTGGTGTCCTTTTTTTGTGCTGGTAGGATACTGTTTCTTTTCCTTCCCCCCTGGCTGTTCTGGAGTCATGGCAAGTCTATAGTATTTTTTGTAGGTGGTCTTTCATTTCAGTGGGACTTCAGAAAGTGTTTTCCTGAACACATACATATAAAGTAGTTTATGTACATGTTATCTTATGGTGTTATAGCATGTGCTTGCATCCAGAAACACTCCAAAAGTACAGGCTAGAGAATGATACTCCTCTTCCCTTTTCTGTGAATCTTGATAGCTCTCTATTTTATTCTGGAGCAGGTATGATAGAATTAATTTCATAAGAATGAATTGATCATTTGAGTGTTTTTACTTGCTCTTTTGCTCATTTTCAAACTGGGGGAAGGGGTTGAGGTCAATATAATGGGTTCTGTGTGTCTCTTGTCAGTGAGTTTAAAGATAGATACAAAGGCCAAGCAGGCAAATTACGGAATTTGGTGGAAGCAGAGTTTAGCTCTGGGCTGAGGCTTGTTTCTAGAGCAGTACTGTGTGCTTCTACCAACGTCCCTTTTCTTATAAGGGAAGATGGCAAAACTTCAGTTGTCTGTGAGAGATGTTCTCCTGTAATCTCAGCATCATTTCTTCAGTTTTGCTGCTCTCAAGAATACAAGACAGCTAACGTTAAGTGAAATTCCAATTGAATGCAATATCTAATGTAAAATAACAACAACATTGAAGTTTTGGTTGTGAGGAGTTCCCTGGCATAGCACAGATCACTGGACTGTGTCCTTTAGGTTTGTTACTTGTCACAGCAGTCCTTTATTGTAGGAGGGTAATGTTGCTATATCTTGTATCTGAGGGCAAGTACTGGTTAACAGCGCTAGGAATTTAATTTCTTTCAATTCTCAACAATGGATTTCTGCTAATGAATTCTGAACAGAATCACAGGAACTTTTGTAGGAGTGACAGGAGTAAGTGAGAAAGTACTATGGCTTTCAAGCAGTGCTTCATTCCTGCTACTACTTCAGCCCACTTACTAAGGCCTCTGTGGTGAACTGCAACCTAATTTTCTGGTTCTGGCAACTGAATTCTAATCTCTTCCTCTCTGAACAGAAGGGCTTTCCCAATTTCCCAATGTGGATGTTCTTTAACAGTTTCTATCATGTGAAATTTGTTACAGAAAAGTGGCAACTAAAAGGGCAGGTATCTTGTAGTAGGGCAGAAAACAAGACATACCTAGACTTCCCTAACTAGGTGAGCCTTTCCACAGCACTAAGCTGGCAGTAATTTGTTTTAAGAACAGTGAATTCAACAGGTGAAACTTATAAGCACAACATGTGTTTCTTACGTTAAGCTTTCTGTCGTGACTGTAAACTTAATGTGAAACTTGTTTGAATGATATGTATTAGTTTTTAATGTACAGAGGCTAAGATTGGTAAGACTGTGAAGTGCTGTATCTGCCACTGAAGTAATTTTATTACTTCAAATCATGTTACAGTAATTTACCCTTTTAAAATACATATGTTTAACAGTTTCATGCAGGAATGGAAGGAAATAATTCAATGATATAAATACCTGCTTTGGCATTGCTGATCTGGGGGAGTTTCAGTGATAAAAGTTTTGATGCAAGTAATGTGCCAGATAGGTAAGCATGGTGACTCATTCAGAGTTCCTAGTTTGTGATCCATCTTAGAAATTAACAAAAAAAAAAAAGAGGGGGTGGGAGTGAAGTACATGCTGATAGTCACTAGATGTGTGGAGAAAGTGTTCAACTGTTTTTCTTCCATCTACGTTCTCTACAAATGTAATGAATGAAGACAGTT